TCCCTTATAACTTGTACCTTTTGTGATTGACTCAAGAACCTCACTCAGTCATACAATTACTGCTCTGAATTAACTTCTAAACCTTTGATAATTTCACCTTCAATATTAAGTCTTTTATTAACCTGTACATGATTGTTTCTAGTTACATAAATCAGACCTGCATCCTATAAGCACTAAGTTCCTATTTGCTAATGAGCGCACATATAAACAACTAGAACTCTAAGGTATGAAGGTGATACAAGTGAACCTGAGAAGGCGCTTGAATTTGAGCTCTGCTTCTAACCACTGCACTCCCCAGGGCTTTGCTCAGCTAGTCTGCCGGACTCCTAGAATGCCCTGCCCTCTTAAAGAGCTCATTGCCTTCCTAACTCCTGTCATAAAATGAACCTATAGCCAGACTATAAACTTCCTGGGAGCAAAGTGCCTACGATCAGACATCTAGGGACAAGTCAACTGTTAGATGAGTGAAGGCTAAAATGTTGGGAAGTCAATGTATTGGCCCAGTGACGACAGATAGTGGCTGTAAAGTCATACTGCTTTGGCTAGAATCCTAGCACCACCACTTAAAAGCTGGACAGAGCTGCACAAACAGCTTACCCCAAATTGTTTGGATAAAATGTAGTACACAGCTTCAGAGAATATGCTGGAGACTAAATGAGATTATGAGAAGTGTTTGTACAATCCAAGAGCTCAAAACAGCATTGTTATTTCCATGGAATTCTGTTTATTGCCTTCATTACTCCTTAGTTCCAAGTCCTTAGCATTTAAGACACTTCCAATTTTCTGGGGTATACACAAGAGAAAAAGTGCTATAAAGTAACATTACATCCAGAAAATAGCCATGTACATAAAAGCAATAATGCTCAAAAGGAGAAATGAAACATCTTGCTTAAGGGGGCTATCCAACCATGCCCACCCTCTCTCCAAAAGATTCCTCCTCCAGAGCTACATATGGGAAAATTCTCAATACCATTTTAGGAAGCTATAAGTTCCTTAATACTTTAATGCTGCCATCAACTTCAGCCTTCTCTGCAGCTACATCTTAGTTATACTGTAGAAATTACAATGGGTAGGTAATAGAATTGTTGGAACCTTAAGATAGTATAGTTGGAGGAGAATAATGAAAATAAAAGTCACTTTTCAACAAAAGAAATCTTTAATATGGATATAGGTATGTATACACATGAGATATGGGTTGCTGTTATATTTTAATCTAGAATGTCCACACATGTTCCACTTTTGAACTCTTGATGCCCAGCCTGTGGCTTTATTTTGAAGTTTGTAAGTCCTTTAGGAAGTAGAGCCTGCAGGGCAAAAGACCAGATTCCAACTTGTTTCTCCACTTCCTCCTCCTCTGCAACACACACTCCCAAGGCCATGAATCCCATCATGCTTTCCTACACTTTCTGTTCCCTGAGGCAAATGAGCTAACAAACCTCTCCCTTGGGTGGTTTCTGTAGGTATTGTGGCTAAAGCTGATGCAAAAGTAACTAATACAAAACACAGCTACCAAAGAATTGAAGTCATTACTGTAACCACCCTTAGCCCTGCAGTGTTTAGCCTCTAGGACCTGGTGTCCAAGACGACTGCGAAAGAGTCTGGAAACAGGAGTTAAAGCTCTAAAATGTTACACACACAGAGTAACAGGCACTTTTTTCTGGGGTGTCTAAAGACCACAATGTTAACAGAAATTCAGACAGTAAAGACTGTATTCATGAGTTTACAGAGGGGAAAAAGGATCCTAGTGGATATTAGACTAATCATTAGTCTTATTACATTCTAGTAAACAAACTAGCTGTAGTTTGTCCATGTTCGAAAATCTGAGCAAGGCTCAATTCAAAAGTAATGGACTAATTTATATTTGGGGAAGAAACTTCAAGATATCATAGTATGACTTTAGCCAGAATTACAGTAAGACAAAAAACAGAGCACAAAGATTTGAAAAAGAGTCAGTATGGCTAAGAAAGTGGTAAAAAACACCTTTCAAGTTGTGGACGAAACAAGTATAGAAAAAGCTGTAATTACTAAGGAGATCAGCACCATTAGAGAGAAGCAGGACAGTGTGCACTGCGACAATACAAAGTTTGCCTCACGAGTAAGACTCAAAGGAAGAAAAGGCCTCCTGAGGGAGGTTTATAACTGGGGATGGGCTCTGATGTTTCACAATTCTATACCAGGCCAGGTCTTGTGCTCTCTCTACCGAGAACTTGCAAAAGTCAGGTAAGCAACTGCCCCAGCACCATGCATACATGCTTCCAGACATGATGATCTTAGACTAACTCTTTGAAACTACAAGCAAGCTCCTAATTAAATGCTTCCTTTTATAAGCTGCCACGTGTCTCTTCACAGCCAAAGAACAGTAACTAAGACACTATCCCACCCAGAAACTGCAATGACAGTTGCTAAGAGCAGAGGAATTTGGATTCCCTAAGCCCATACAAAGACCACAACACTCAGAGAGAGCAAGGGTCCTGCTATCTGGGGTTGCACAAGATCTGCAACAGTAGCAGGTACCACCTCCTGCTGCCTTCACTCAAAACTTTCAAATTCTGAAGTCTACACAAAAGTTGGTAGGACCAGCCAGCACTTGAAATGCCACTTCTCCTCAATTAGACAGTTATTAAGGGCAAATTAACAACGGCAGCAAGCTGACTGGTAACAAGTCATGTTAAACCTTGTAGCTTTGGAAGTTACCTTCTTATTTTGAAGGAGTCCATGGTTGTTTGTGAGAGCTGTGCTGAAGAAAATATACTGTCTCTCTCCACTCCCTAGAAACCAGGGTGGACATCCTACCACTTTGAACACTAAACATCACAATGATGCAGAGGCAGAAACAACTCCTTTGCCCCAGTGGCAGAAGGGATTCAAGAGTCTATCAATTTCTCCAGTGGTAACATTGTCAGTAGCAAAATTCTACCCAGACTACTTATGGGACGGGACCTGGGCTGTGACCACAAACATCCAGTCTCTCTCCAGCCTGCTACCTACCATCTTCAGTGCATGCCTCTTCTGTTTACGCCAAAACTGATGCCTCAATCTAACAACCCAGAACCATGAGTGGCACTGCAACACCTTGCCCTGAGAATACCATATCAACACTAGGTTGTACTGCCAATTCCAATAACGACCTAGTACTACTCCACTATCCCATCCATCAGTTTACTTGCCATGATTAGCATAAAACAAGCAGGCAAGAAATGTTTTCCTGTATGAATTTCACAGCTAGGGAGTGTCAGAGCACCATGCATAAACCCCCACTATCACTTACTGCCAAGAGTGTCAAAAGTACCAGGTGGAACTACACAGCTTAACTTATTCATGAATTTACAAGCTAGGATTCCTTTCACCACCTAATTAGCAAACCACTTTCTTAAAAGAGAAATAAAAAACAAACAGGGATTCTATTTCACTAGCGTTCTCGTACAGTAAGAAAAGCCTATTTATGAAAAATGGCCCCTAGACACAGTATGTGCCGTCTAAAACTTGCCACCAAACCCAAATGTTGTGTCCCATGAAGGTCACATAACCCCACCCAGTGAGTAGTCTAACTTCCTCTATCTTCCCAGATCTCTGTGTTAGCACTGACAAGGTACATTTACTAAAACAGCAAATGTTTTCCAAAACCTAGAATGATGGCTGACACATAAAACAAATAGTGCTTTACTTTGGTACCAAATCCACTACTTGTGCTACCCAGCAACTTTTCTACAAATCTGGAAAAAAAAAGCTTAATGGAACCTGTCTTTAGTCTTTATCTGCTATACCACAGACCTTGTCTTGTGCCAATAGGAATAATCCTATTTGTAACAAGACTTAGTACTAAACATTTGAATGTGGCCATTGATTTTGTTCAAGTTATTTAATGGCTGTTTGTAAACTGGCAGTACTTACTAAGCTATACAAACTATGTTTAACTAATTAGTATTTTGTTTAAAAGTGGACTAACATCCCATTAATTAGGTACATACTGTGTGTGAATAAGCTAAAAAGTCACCATTATATATGACTGCCCATAATATAAGAAAATCCGAGCGAGAAAAGAGGGAGAGATGGAGAGGAAGAGAGAAGAGAGTGATAGAGAGAGGAAGAGGGAGGGGGAGAGGCAGACAGGGAGCCAGGGGAGGGAGGGATAGGGAAGGAGGGATGAGTTTGTGTGTGAGAGAGAGACGGAGGAAGAGTGCGTGTGTCTGTGTGTTCACAGATGCCAACTCCACCAAGAGGTCCTGTCCCACAAACTCAATATAAATGACCCACTCAAAACCCAATACAACCAACAGGGGTCAGCGGTGCTGCCCCCAACGCCCAGCGGACTGAACTGCAGACAGACAGGCAGACAGACAGGAGGCAGGCGCGGCCACGCACGCGGTGCTCCCGAGGGCTCGGAGGTGAGTGGGAAGGGGCGAGCCGCGCCGCCCAACGCAGGGCTGTCCGGTGTCGACCGCCTGCGGCGGCCCGAGTCTCCCGGCAGCAGTCACGCCGAGCAGGGCCCTCCCTTTCCGTCGTGGGCTCCCTGTCACCAGCATGGCGTAACGGAAGAAGCGCGAGTGGCGGCGGCTGGGGCAGGGCACCCGGCAGGGAGCCCGTGCAAGGGAAAGGCCGTCCCTAGGAGCACACACAGCCGGGGAACGGCCAGTCCCGGAGCCGAGGACTCCGGGCGAGGCTGTCAACGCGCAGGCCGAGGGGACACCCGGGCACCGAGGGGTCCGAGAGGGCGCGAGACCCCCCGCGCCGCCGACGGCTGCCGCTCGGGGCCGGAGGGCGCCGGGCAGCAGGACGTGCGCCGCCGACGGGCGAGGGCGTGGGTCCCGGCGTGCGGCGGGGCGGCGTCGGCCCCGGCGGGGAGGGGCGGAGGCGGGGGAGGGGGCGGGAGCGCGGCCGGCCCTCGGGCTCCCGACGCCGCGCCACCCGCCCGGGCCCGCAGACCGCCGCCCCCGGACCCCGCGCCGACGCCAAACCATCCCCGCCCCCAGACCCCCCCGCCCCGTCCCTGAATAACTCACCTGTTTGTCGGGGAAATCGCTCCTGCTCGGCCCTCTGACTGACTCCTCCGGCTCACCGTCTTCCCTCTGGGAGGAAGAGGCGGGACTTCCTGGTTCTCCGTGGAGATACTTCCGGCGGTTCCCAGGGCGACAGCTCAGGATGGTGCGCAGGACACCATAACCGGAAAACGGAGATTTTACAACTGCCCCGGTGGAAACCCAAGTTCACGTCCTCTTTTTTATGGCCTCTAACGGCCGGCAGTTCGGCGTGTCGAGTTATTTTCAGCCCTTCGGGACTTCCCGGAAGTTCCTGCGAGCGACAGCAGGAAGTTCCACCCTCCCTGCTGAAGGAAACGGAAAGCCTAGAGAGTCAATCTGTAGGGCAGAAGCTGGTAGGGCTCAGGACGGCCGGGTCTTCCGGCAGGACAGTGTCTTCTCCCCGAGGATGCTCGCTCAGCGGGCCAATCCCCGCGGCACCCCGCGGCTGCTCCCCATCCCTCGAACCCGAGGGCGGGGCCGGGAAGGGCAGGGGCGTGGCCTGGGCCTTCCTCTGCATCGGGTCCCCTAAGTGATCGGGCCAGACCCTCTGTTCTCCTTGGAAGGCTGTGCTCCACACAGGGTTACCCCAGATAAGGAGAAATAGACCATCCGGCAACGCCAGCATGCGCTCTCCCATGTGTTGACCCCAGGGACCCGCAATGTGATGGAGCCCTGATGATAACGTAGTTGAAATTTCCTTGTGATTCACATACCCACGGTAGGGAATTGCATCTCCTAGAAGGCACAACTAGTAAAAGTGAAGCCTAGCTCTGCACCCCAATGTCATGACCTAAGTCGGCTTATAGGTCGATAAGAAAGTACAACGGACTGGGTAGGATGTAGCGCTTCAGTAGCTCCTGCGTCTTAAATAGTTTCCCCATTGCCTATAGTAAGCATACAAATATGTATGCCATATAAATGTCATAGTCAGCAGATCTCCAGTTTGAGGAACATTATCTATTACATATATCTGAGCTATACAGCCCTTGTTTTTAGTTACTTGCTTTAGGGTATACCATGAAACATTTACAGGAAGCTAGATAATTTTTCTGTAATTAATTATATTAGTACTTAGAATGACTACAAACATAGTTTTGCACATATTAAAGCTTAATTATCTTTAACAGTTTATAATAAGAATAACAATTTCTGAATTGAAGATCTTTTCATGAATAACATCCATAGGGAAATTGGTAACTTTATTTTTCTGGCCCTTCATGGTGTACAATTACAGAACACAGCAGTTACCTGTATGACTCAGTCTACCAAGATACTTAGAGCTTAACAATATTAGCAAAAACAAGAAGTTACATGTACATTTTAAAATTAGTCTCTTGTTAGTCTTCATAGACCCTAGGAAAGGAGAGACATTCTCTCAAACAGTGGTTCTCAACTTTTTCAGTGGTGTGACCCTTTAACACAGTTTCCCATGTTGTGGTGACCCCCAATTATAAGAGCATTCTCAGCCATGCAGTGGGGGCACACACCTTTAATCCCAGCATTTGGGAGGCAGAGGCAGGCAGATCTCTGTGAGTTCGAGACCATCCTGGTCTACAAGACCTAGTTCCAGGACAGCCTCCAAAGCCACAAAGAAACCCTGTCTCCAACAACTAGGAAAAAATTCATTCTTATTGCTATTTCACAACTGTTATTTTGCCATTGTTATGAATCACAATGCAAATATCCAACATGCAGGCCACCCTAGGCTCCCCCTGTGAAATGGTCTTTTTTTTTTTTTCTCGAGACAGGGTTTCTCTGTGGCTTTGGAGGCTGTCCTGGAACTCACTCTGTAGACCCGGCTGGTCTCAAACTCACAGAGATCCGCCTGCCTCTGCCTCCCGAGTGCTGGGATTAAAGGCGTGCGCCACCACCGCCCGGCCTCATCTGGGTGATTCTAATGTTTGATTTTCTGTTTGACTACTATCAAGGTACTTTCTTGTATATGAATGCATGGAGGTCCAGGTTTATTACCTCACATTAAACAAGCATTGTTTTTAGATTCTATTTTTAAGACAGGATAGGAGTTATCATTCAAAAATCCTACTTGAAGTATTTTTGGAAATCTGTTGTATTCTTGGTTGATGATGGTGGTGAAGTATTGCACAAAAAATGAAAGACCCAATGACTAATATTGGGGTTTAAGCTTCAAGCTGAAGTTCAGAAAAGCAATGCAGCTTGTCACTGACTCTCACCTCTAGCTCAGGCTGAAAGGGTTGATTACTCTCCAATCTCACTTGAGTGTGAAGACTATTCGTTTTTTGTTGTTGTTGCTGTTTTTTTTGTTTTAATTTTATTTGATTTTTGCAACACAGGGTTTCTCTGTATAGCTCTGGCTGTCCTGGGACTTGTTCTGTAGAACAAGCTGGCCTTGGACTCAGAGCAAATCCACCTGCCTCTGCTGGAATTAAAGGTGTGCACCACAACCACTGAGATTTGAATACAACTTTTAAAGGAGGAAATTAACCCTAGTGTTCTTGCATGTCTTTTTTGTAATGAGGGGAAATATACCCTCAATCCCAGACTGGAAAATTTTTCTGAGGTATCAAGCTAGGTACTCATTTTCATGTTGGAATGCACTTTCTGGATATCGTTTTACCTGATGACAGGTGAGAGAAGTAGTGGAAAAGAAACTCAAGCCAAAGACCCTCAGGAATGTTCTTTTCCATCCTCAGCCTTGGGAGAGAAAAGTTTGGTTCCAAGTCGTACGTTAGGAGGCAATATGTTACAATTAATGTAATATAATGCAGAGCCTGACAACTCTCCTAGGCACGCCAATAACCTCTACAAAGTACTGGGTTTCTTCCCTCCACCTCAGACTTTAATATTCATGCATGGATTCCCCCATAACTCCTAAAGACAGAAGTTCTTTGACCAAAATCCATTGAGTACAGCTGTAAACTGAAGTCCCCTCAAAAAATAATCCACACCTTCACCAATCATTTCACAAGGTTGATTGACACAACTTGCCAAATGCAGAAATAAGTGTCAGCAGAATACTCAGCCACAAGTGTGATGTCCACACTGTGCCCCTCCCATCCAGGTACAAAGGTCGTCACAGAACAGGGGTGGGAAGATCATAGGAGCCAGAGGTCAGGAGGCCGGGGACTGAAACAATGTCTCCTGAGCATGACAGGACTGCATACTCATGAACGGGCAGCATCTGCGGTTGCCTGTACAAGACCCACACAAGCCAGTTGTACCACACACCCATAGGATTTGCCAAAGGAGGCAGGGCATCAGGAGGATCACAAGTTTAAGGCCAGCCTGGGCTATACATTGTTGTGGGGCATGATGGCGCATGCCTTTAATCCAAAGACAGGCAGATGTCTGTGAATTTGAGGTCACCCTTGTATACAGAGAAAGTTCCAGGATAGTGGGAGCTCAGAGCTAAAAAGAGAAACCCTGTCTCGAGAAACAAAAACAAAAAACAGAACAAACAAAAAAACTGTACAAGATCAAGCTCGAGAGCCCCCTTCCCCCACCCATAACTAAGGAGCTATGCATGACAGTGGCTTCAGAAGAAAAGAAAATCCATATTGTTTAAAGTTACAGCTCCTGGTTAAGAGCACTCGATGCTCTTCCAGAGGTCCTGAGTTCAATTCCCAAACACACCGCACTGCAGTGGATGGCCTCACACTCAGAGGTCTAAGGGCAGCACAGACTGGGCTTCCACAGACTTTAAGTGGAGGGAATGGGGAGGTGGAAGCGAGTCTAGGAAGAGTGGAAGGAGGAATGGGGGATGAATATGTTTAAAACACATATGGAATTCTCAAGGATTAATAAAAACATGTTTTTTAAAGAGTGTCTTCCTCATGTGATAGATTACCTCCTATCTATCCTTGAGGAGGAACCTCATGAGTAGTTTTCCCCCTCCCTCCCTATAGAAAATTGTTTAAACAATGTGGAGGGGTGCCCACACCTATGCCATAGCACATGCATGAGGAGCTCAGAACATGTGGAAGTTGGCTGTCTCCTTCCAGCTTGTAGATCCAGGGGAGCCCACTTAGGCTACTGAGCTCAGGGGGCACCTTTATCTGCTAAGCCTTCTTACCAGCCCTTTGTAGGAAGTTTGCTAAGCTCAGTCTGGTAAAGACCTCATTTAGATGACCACAGATACTCTCACTAAAGACAGCAATAATAATGTCCACCCAGAAGGACACATGCTATGGTCTCATGACCCTTCTGTTCCTTCTGTCCCCTAATGAGCACTAGAGAGCTTTAGTGGCCTTTGTTGTTTTGACATGCAGCTGTCGGTATTTTCATTTCATCCTTAGTTTCTTTTGCCATAGTGAACAGTTAAAGTCCCACCTACTTCCTCCATTCTTCCCTAGAGGCATAGAACCTGCCTCACCCAGTGATTTAGGCAGCTATGCAGAATCCAGTGTTTCCCTGAGGCTCTCTTTTCCAGAACCTTACATCCCTATTTTTACCTGCCTCTGGTTCTGAAAGTGGGGGTGTAGACAGACTTTAAATAGCGCCGTTTATTTGACAATAATAACTTATAATTCAGGAGGGAGGTTGGTCATTCCTCATGACTAATTTCACAGTGTCATCTAACATTCTAGTTCCCTGTCACATTTTTGTTATTACATCCAAATGCCTACTTACAATAACAGTGCGAATATGTATGTTAAACACCCACACTAGAATTTTAAATCTTAGCTCTTTCTGAATGCTGTTTTGGTGAATTTCAATGTGGGAGGTGAGATAATTTAAAACTTCATATTTTCTACTATAGTGAAAGGCATAATTTCTCTGACATGTTTTTTTCTTCCCATCTAGAATAAGGAATTACACTAGAATAGTGTTTTAAAATAAGATTTGTCAAGATAATGGCATTTTTCCTCTTCACTTCTACCCAAACTAAAATAGTTCAGGAGCATTTATTTACTTATCATAACTGTTAAAAAATTATAGTCATTATATCTACCATCACTTTCTTTATAAATCATACTGTGGAAAGGATGCGTCATTTCATTCCGAAGAAAACTTCTTGTCTTTGTACTTTACCCATCAGTAAAGCTTTTGGACAGCTGGGAAAAATACAAAGCACATGCAATCCAGCCTTTCTCTGAGGAGCTTACCTCCCAAAGGCTTTCTTCATGATTGCAAAGTGGACGGTCATCTTCCTTAGTGGGGAATCTACAGTGGTCGTAAATTTGCATACTTGACCAGTGAGAGGTGAAACGAACAGTGGAACCCTTTAGCCCGCGGTTTAAATTTTCGTGTTATGAGAGGTAGTATAAACCAACAAGTTGTACTACATCTAACCATAGGCATATTTACATGGAGACAAGTATTTTACATTGGTGTACAGAGTCTAGATCTAAGACATTAGTTAGTTAATTAGCTATTACACATCCAAAGTAGTCAGACTTAAATTGAAAAATTCTATTTAAATATTTAACATTTGGATC